TGGGTCTCGAACCCGCGGGCTCAGGCAATCCACTCACCTCAGCCTCCCAAAGGCGTGGGATTATAGGCTGAGCCACTGAGCCCGGCTTTTTTTACAGAGCAATTAAAACAAGAGAAAAATTATGCATTCTAAATCTGTGCTACAAGAAAAACACGATTATTATTTGACAGAGCCTAAAGGACTTTGCATGGTTCTTGATATTCCTACCCCCACTGCAGAAGTCATTTCTTTTTTTTTTTTAATTTTATTTTAAAGATATGGGGTACAGTTCAGGATTAGGTATACAAGTGGTCATACGGGTACAGTTTGGACCTCCCTTGGGTCCCCACTTTGCCTGGTTTGAGATCAGGTACTCTTATTAATGCTGTTCTCTCCCGCCCCTGGCCACCTCCAGCCCAGTAGTATCTTGCTACTGCCACTCCTTTTCTTAAAGTATTATGGTAATTGTTCAGGGTCCACTTATGAGTGAGAACATAGGGGACTCTGCTCTTTGTGTCTGTGAGAGATCACTGAGTATGGTGGATTCTAAATCCATCCAAGTTGCTGCAGAGTCCATGTTTGTCCTTCATGGCTGCATAATATTCCATCGTGTGTATGTACCACATTATTTTAATCCAGTCCAGTTTCAGCAGCACGTTTGGTTTCATGTTTTTGCTATTGTGAATAATGCTGCAATAAACATGTGTGTGCAGGTATCTTTTTTTGTAGGATGATTTGAGTTCTGAGTATATTCCCAGTAGGGGGATTGCTGGGTCATATGGAAAGTCAATTTCTAGTTCTTTCAGAAATCGCTACACTGTTTTCCACAGAGGTTGCACTAATTTGCATTCCCAAAGCGTTCCTTTTTCTCCACATCCTTGCCTATATCTGTTGTTTAATTAATCATTTTATTAATGATGGCCATTCTTACTGAGGTTAGATGGTATCTCAGTGTGGTTTTGATTTGCGTTTCCCTGATGATGAGTGAGGCTGAGCACTTTTTCATGTGTCTGATGGCTGCCCGTATATCTTCTTTTGAGAACTGTCTGTATATGTCTTTTGCCCACTTTTTAAAGAGGCAGTTTGTTTTTTCCTTTCGGCATGTTTGAGTTCATTGTAGAACCTAGATATTAGGCCTTTGTCAGATACACAGTTGGCAAATATTTTTTCCCATTCTGTGGGTTGTCTCCCCATTCTCTTGATGTTTTCTTTGGCTTTGCAGAAGCTTGTTAGTTTGATGAGGTCCCACCTGTATATCTTATTTCTTAAGGTGTGGGCATTTAGGGTTCTGAATATGAATTGGTTTCCAGTTCCAATTTCCATAAGAGTATCTCCTGCGTTTTCTAGGATTCTTATAGTTTGAGGTTTTACATTTAGGCTTTTGATCCATTTGGAGTTAATTTTTATGTATGGTGATAGGTAGGGATCCTGTTTCAGTCTTCTGCATGTGATCAGCCAGTTTTCCCAGCACCATTTACTGAATAGGTTCTCCTCTCCCCAGTGATTGTTGTTGGAGGCTTTGACAAAGATGAGTTGGTTGAGAAATTGAGGTTTTGCTTCCAGAATCTCTGTCCTGTTCCATTGGTTGATAGTCATTTAATTGTATTTTTCTTCACTTAAAAAACCCTGAATGACTCTTCTTTGTCAGTGGGACAGAGTGTAAATTTCTTTGACATTCTAGGCTCATCAAACTCTTGTTCCTTTCTATTGTAACAATATTCTCATTTTTGAGGAGATGGAGGGGAGGGATCAAGTAGAAATTAATGCCACTCAAACATGAGATTCTTATGTGCTGCAGAGCCCACAAACGGGTGAATAAATGTCTTGGGTAGTTTTTTTAGTTCTGTACCACAGATACTGCAGTAGGTGCTGAGCATATGGAAATGAGTGAGACCATAACCCCTGTGTTCAGGAAATTCATAGGAAATAGGTCACAGCCAGCTTACTGAGCCGAACAGTAGAAATGTATAGGAGGCATGGCAGGGTCACTGAAGAGATAACCGATTATGAGGGCATTTGTGGAGGGGGAATGAGAATGGGGAAAGACTTATAGGGTAGAGGGGGCTTGAGCCAGGTCTTAAAAGTTAGGTGGGAATTCGCTAGTCAGGTAGGAGTTAGGTGGGAATCCAAGGAGAGTGGAGAACATTCTCAGCGGAGGCACCAAGGTAGAGGGTTCTGCGGTTACTGGAAGTAACATGGGGGGTGATCAGTGGGAGAAGAGGCTGGACTGAGCAGCGTCAGCTGTGCAGCCCCTGCATGCTGGGCCCTTGGCTTGAATCCGGGCAATCAGTGGAGCCAGCCTGGCCATTGTTCACTGCCATGTGCTGCTCATGGTCACAAAAATAATGTCAGCTTCAAGAATGCCCTTGATGAAGTAGTACAGATTATTCCTTTTATTAAACGTGACCCTGGAACCCAGTATTCTGTGATGAAATGGGAAGCACTTTCACAGTTGAGTTGTGAATCTGTCCCTTTTGTCACAGAGCTCCAGTTTGACTTGAAAGGGTGACTAGTCAACAAACTGATGTTCAGACCTGGGCGTCTGACAGATCTCGCCTCAAAAATTAACAAAGTGAATCTGCCATATCACGGAAGACAACTGATAGTATTTGTTGCTCCTGATAGAATTTGAGTTTTCAAGTGAATATTAAAATTTCAGAAAACTTACATGTGCCACCGTGAGCTTGACAGCCTCCTCCTATGTATGGCTTTTCTGATGAGCTTGGTGATACCGATGGGTGATCTGTTGATATTAAATGATGAAATGTCAGCATTTGGAAGATCTGCATAACTCAGTGAACCCCTTTTCCTAACTGACCAATGCGTGTTATAAAACCATTGTGGGTAAAAATCCATTCAAAGTGCAAGACAGACTAATGGTTTTAAAGTAACTAAGGACAGAGAGTTCACTGCTTTGGTTTCTGTCTCCAACACTGCATCCAGCCTTTAAGACTTTAACACTTAGACATTTGTGTAGTATCAAAGACGAATATTTCCAACTATCTGTAAGACAGCAAATTAAAATACTTCTCCCTTTTCTAGTTACATATTTGTGTGAGACTGATTTTTTTTTATACTTCAAAGTAACATATTGGAGTGGATTGAATGCAAAAATGGTTATCAGAACTCATTTGTCTCTTACTGTAAAGTGAAGCATCCAAGTGCTGAAAAAAAGCGGTAAAATAATGCCATTCTTCTCACTAGTGTGGTTTCAAAAATTTTTAAAATATTATTTTAAAATGAATTTACAAATATGTATATAATTTCTTGGTTTTAATTTCTAGTGTACTAAATATCTTAGGTATAATCTGTATAAACAAAAGCTCTTTGAGCGCAATAATTTTTATGAGTATAAGAGGTCCCCAGACCAAATGATTTCAGAACTACTGATCTGGGAAAGATGATAGTGTCTGAATGAAGGTTCTCAGGTTCCACTTGTGCTCAAGTTCTGCCTTCTACAGGCCTCTCTGTTTAACCTGGTCCCTTTATACCCCTGCACTTCCATTTTGAACATAGTATTAGCATTCATTGTGAAAACTTTATATTCATATATTGCTTTGTGGTACCTTTTTAACTGATTGATGTATGTACATATTTTAAATTATTTCTTCAACTACATTGTAAGTCTAGAAGACAGGAGTTTTTCTATTTCTTGTATATGTATGTGAGGTTTGTTTTAAACCTCAGAATCTAGTCCATTGGTATTTATATACACAGAGGTTACGCGTTAGAATATAGTTTTTGTTGAAGAAAGCCAATCCTGTTCTTCCTCCATAGACATCATAGAATTTCAGAGTGGAAAAGGCTCTTGACTGTTAATCCAGTTCTGCCATTTCCTTCCATACATGAGGAAGCAGAGGTCTGGAGAAGTGATATGTCTTGGGCCTAGGTCATATAGCTTTAGTCACTAGGAAACTGAGTCCTTGGTCCTTTCCAGCCTTTTATTAAGGGTGAACTAATAACAAAGTAAGCCACTCTTGTGTCTTAATTCTTAAGAACACTTGTGTTTTCAAGTGTTCCTTTTTATTTTTCAAATGAAAGAGTCACATGTGTATTTGTGAAACAGCTTGTGCCAGTGAAGTGGGAGTTTGATATTCAACAGATATAAACATTTGCTCAGCATTGTTTTCCTGAGTTCATATGGAAAATGGACTCAACTCAAAGGTAAAAGTGTGGTTTAAGTCAAGTTTAACATTCTTAGGATGAATGATGAACTTTTCCCTGCCCAAGACATTTACCATTTACGGGCAGAGTCATGCATCTGAGGCCCTGTTTTGATTTTTTCATTGGAGTGTTTTTTACAATATCACCTTCTTTCCAGGGTCCAAATGCCAAGCCTGTAGTGTCCTTCATTGCTGGCTTAACCGCTCCTCCCGGCAGGAGAATGGGCCATGCAGGGGCGATTATTGCCGGAGGAAAAGGTGGAGCTAAAGAGAAGATCTCCGCCCTCCAGAGTGCGGGAGTTGTGGTCAGCATGTCTCCTGCACAGCTGGGAACCACCATCTACAAGGTGAGCCCCGAAAGTGCCCGATTGCTCGGAGGTGCAGGCCTTCTCAGGGAGGGACCATGCGGGGTACCTGGAAACCATGCCTTTGCTTCTGGGTATAAATCTGTTTTATTTCATTCTGAGGTGCAGCTTGACAGTCTTTATCAACCCTGCTAATGTCTAATGCCCTAATTGGGCATGGACAAGACTAACATTCTGATTTTAAAACTTCCTTTAAACATCGAGATTTGTATTTTTCTAAGTGGTAAGATAAAACATATGAAAAAGCATCATGGAGATCATAGGAGAGATGTGTCATGATTTCCATTTTAAGGGCATAGGAGGAGGTTGTGCAGAGAACTGCCTTGTGTTTTGCATTTTGTCTTTTCCACGGAGGGCCTTTGGGCTTGTAGCCACCCCGACTGTTTCCAGGGAAAGAGCCTGGAGGCTGAGTAATAGGAATGAAAAACTTCAGCTTCTTTCTGTCCCTGGCTGTATTGTGATGTCATTGTTATTTACAGGTTGGAGGAATGACTTCTTAACCATTAAAAAAATTCCCATATTAATGGAACATTGTGGGTCTTCCATAATCTTTGCAGTGATTTTCAGCTTGTCTCTTTGAGTTTAAGGCTCTCTCTCCTTCTTTATTTTATATGGTTATTGCCTTGTCAAGAAAAGCAAAAAACAACAAAAAACTTGTTTCTTAAGCATGCTGAAAATCGGCACCAATTTTCCTAGAAAGGTGCAGTGTTCAGAGAGATTTTCAAAATCCTGATTTGGTGTGATCTTTGACCTTGTGACTGAAAACACGAACTCCTTGTTTCATTGAATCTTTGCATGATCATGTCTTTTGGAATATAACACTGTGGCACACAGCATTTGAAAGAAATCTGGGTGGTCAGTGAGTGTAGAGTATTTGAAAGAAATCTGGGTGGTCAGTGAGTATAGAGTATTTGAAAGAAATCTGGGTGGTCAGTGAGTGTGTGAAGAATTTTATTTGAAGGTGCTTAAATTCACACTGGAGGTGTGTTACCATTTTACTCCAGTAAGTGGCAGCAGGCATCTACACATTTGTCCTGTTCTAATTGTTACTCTCTAGAAAAATATGATTTTCAGTATTGTTTCCTTAAACAGTATTTTGTTTAAGGTATTTGTTTCAGATGTTTCTGAGGCTCTTGACATTTTGTTCAAATCCTAACTGAATCTCTGTTTAGCTTTATTCTCTGAGAAACTAAGTAAACCTGTTTCCATTGTCTTATTAAAGGGGTTGGTTGTAGTTCCTATAGATAGCATTACAGCCTTGGATAAGCACGATGAAGTTTGTCAGCTCCTCGTATTATTATTATTGTAATACTGAAGTGAAAAAATAAGTATTATTTTTAAAGCCTCCTTCTCAGCTTCTGGGTTTGGGAGACAAAGTTGAAGCTCTGCATCTAGCTTGGTGAAATTCAGGTTGACTAATTTGAAAGCTGTTATTTTGTGTTCAGTACCCTCATCCTGAAACATTTTACTTCTGTCATTTGGTTGTTCAAAGGATTCTAAAGATAATAGGCTTCAGAATCATTTTAACCATGAATATAATTTGCATCTCCTATCTTTTTATTTTCTCTCTGTTCTCCTTCTCCTCTGTTTCTGAAGGAGTTTGAAAAGAGGAAAATGCTATGAAAGAAGAAGCAAAGTTTCTTGAAACTGTGGATTGAATCATGGGAGACATGGGGCCCAGCAGCTTCTGTGGCCCCCTGATGGTCAGGCTGTGTGCCCGATTTTGGCCTTCCTTGCCACAGAAAGCCCACGCGAAGTGAAGGATGGATGTCCTGAATTGAGATCTTTTCACCTGATTGTATAACAAAGACAACCAATAAATCTACCATTTAATTTGACTGTGGTTTTGGAGACTTCTTGTTCCAGTGTGTGGGGTGAGGAGAGAGGGAGAATGGAGGGGTGTGTGTGTGTGCGTGCGTATGTGCTTGTTTTAACATTGTAACCAAAACTTCTGAGAAACTGAGGCTGTAATAACTTCAACGTGGCATTTATCATTATCCTAGATGTAGAGTGGCATCAGGTCTCTGATTCAAAAATCAGTTTTCTCACGTGTATGCATAATAATCTCCATCTTGCAGGGTGGTTTGGAGAGTTAGAGATAAATGCATAAAATCCCTGGCATTTAGTGAGGCAACTTAATTCACCAGTGCCTCTCTGATCACTTCTATCCCCACCACCACCGTTGTTATCATCATCATCAAGAGTCATTAGGATTATAAGCAGAATCTCATCTGTGTGTCAGTTTCTGCCTAGTGGGAAATTTTTGCCTAGCTGGGAGATGGAGGTCTTCCCCAATTCTGTGCTTTCCCGCGGCTCTGAAGAGGGCTCTTCCCGACCCCATCTGGAGTCTACATTCTTCGCTTGAGGTTTAAGATATTCACCGCAAGAAAGCAGGAAAGCTGTTAGCCATCCTGCTTTGTGTTTTAGAAGGAGCTTATTAATATGTGATTCTAGGGCTAGGTTACTGTCACCAGACAAGACAGAAGAGGGCACCCGTCATCAGGAACATACGTTGTAGAGAGGGAGAGAGAAAATATTTTCAAATTGTAACACTGCCCTGAAGGAAACAAGAGCTTCAAAAATATTGGGGAGGAGCCCCTGGAAGAAAGTCTGACCATGGAGTTCTCCCTGGGGAGGGGGTATGCGCTGGGACCTGAGGACTGAGAAAGTACCGGCCATGCAAAAAGGAGGATGAACACACAAGCAAGGGGAACAACCTGTGCAAAAGAGGGGAGGGAAAGAGCACGTTTCAAGGAAGAGGAAGAACGTTGGATGCACTGGGAGGGATTAGAGGAGGTTTCCGGGGCCTGAGGAAACAGGAGCTTATGGGACCATCCCAGGTTGCTGCTGAGGGCACAAAAACAGGTGTCAGGAGATTGATTGACAGCCCGCAGGATTCTGCCCAGGCCAAGGGACATGTAGTGATCAACCTTGGATTTGAGTAGACTTTAGTTCCTGCTTGTTTTCTCATCTTGAAAAAGAGGATAATAACCCCCACGTCAGAGGGGTAACTGGGTAGAAATACGCTACAGATGTATGAGGGTGCCTCTTTCCAGGGTGGGCTCTGCTGGGGAGTGGCATTGCTTCGTAAACCCTTGGATGTGCACGCCAAAGCTCAGGACAGTCCAGGCTGACACTGCTGGCCAGGGAGGAAGGCACCTCCTTTCTTCTGACTGGCACGTCCAACCCAAGAGCCCTGTAGGGCAAATACCCTTTGGTTGAACTCACTGGGGCTTTGTGACAGTTATACAACTCAGATGAAGGGCAGGTGACCTGTCTTAGCTCAGGCTGCTGTAATAAAATGTCATAATCTGGATGACTTAAAAAATAAGCATTTATTTCTCACAGTTCTGGAGGCTGGGAAGCCCAAGATGAGGTGCTACAGGGTTGGGTTCTTGTGTGTGTGTGTGTATGGACAGATAGCCATCTTGTTGGGTCCTCATATAGTGCAAAGAGCTAGGTAGCTTGCTGCTCTCTTTTAAAAAAATTTTAAATTATTTTTTAACTTTTAATTATTTTAAAGACATGGGGTACAATTCAGGGTAAGGTATATAAATGTTCATTATGCAGGTACGCTTGTTGATGAGGTGTACCCCTCTTCCCCAGGTGGATTCCAATCCTACTGCCAATCCTGCTTCTCCCCACCCCTTCCCTGGCAGTTTCTCGCTATTGCCAATCCTTTTCTTATAGTATTACTATAATTGTTCAAGGTCCACTTATGAGTGAGATCATGTGATACTCAGTTCTTTGTGAAAGAGCACTCAGTATTATAGACCCTAAGCCCATCCAGGTTGCTGTGAAGTTCATGATTTTCTTCTTCTTTATGGCTGCGTAATCTTCCATCGTGTATATGTACCACATTTTAAAAATCCAGTCCTCTTTTGATGGGCAGCACGGTTGGTTCCATGTTCTTGTTACTGTCAACAATCCTGTGATAAACATACGTGTGCAGGTATCTTTTCATAAAGTGATAGTTCCTCCAGGTGTATTCCCAGTAGGGGGATTGCAGGGTCATATGGAAGGTTGATTTTTAGAACTTTTAGGAATCACCACACTGATTTCCACAGAGGCTGTACTAGTTTACACTCTCACCAACAGTGTAGAAGTGTTCCCTTTTCGCCACATCCTTGCCAGCATCTGTTGTTTTTTGAGTTATTGGTGATAGCCATCCTGACTGGAGTTAGGTGGTATCTCAATGTGATTTTAATTTGCATTTATTTGATGACTAGTGAGGCTGAGCATTTTTTCATGTATCTGTATGTCTTCTTTTGCGAAGTGTCTTCATATCTTTGCCCACTTTGTAATGGTGCTGTTTTTTTCTTTTCAGCAAATTTGAGTTCCTTGTAGATCCTAGATGTCAGGCCTTTGTCAGACATACAGTTGACAAATATTTTTTCCCAGTCTGTGGGCTGTCTCCCTTCTCTCTTGATAGTTTCTTTGGCTTTGCAGAAACTTGTCAGTTTGATGAGGTCCCACTTGTCTATCTTATCTCTTATGGCATGGACACTTGGAGTTTTGATCAGGAATTGGCTGATCAAATGGTTCCAATTTCCATAAGGGTGTCCCCTGCATTTTCTTATAAGGGCTCTAATCTCATTCAGGAGGGCTCCGCCCTCATGACCTAATAGCTCGTAAAAACCCCACCTCACAATACCATCACATTGCAAATAGAGTTTCAGCATATGCATTTTAGGGGGACACATACATTGAGTTCATTGCACATCCCTAACAGAAGGCATCCCTTTTCAGTGTCCATCCTGACTCCAGGCTGAGGTACCCGAGCACCCATCCCGACACACCCTCTCTCCTTACACATCTGCTCCTGTGGCCTCACCTGGGGAGGTCAGTGCCCCTTGACTTGTCTGCTGTCTTCCCACCCCACCCCATCGTCCCCATTCCCTTTTGTCTTCCTTTTCCTCCTTACCCTCTGAGCCTTTCCCAGGATCCCGGGAAGCTACCCACTCCTCACCATCTCTCACCTCTCTCCCCTCCTGCTCTCACTTCCACCTCTGGTCTGAGCAGCTCCAACAGCAGTAGATGGAATGTTTGGTTCTGGTGTTTCCTGTTTCAGTTTTCACAAAAATGTGAACATGTCGCAACCTCAGTGCATAAAAAAAAACTTTTGTTATGGAAACTTTCAAACGTTTACAAAAGAATTATGATGGTACAATGTACTTCCATGGACCCGTCACCCAGCTTTGGAAATGACCAATATTCTACCATTATTATATGATCTGTACCTTGGTCCACATCCCTTAGCGGTGGTGTTGTTGTTAGAATCGTCTTACTGAGTTAGTTTGAACTCGTTGAAATGCATACATTACAGCCATGTACAACTGACAAATGAACCCCTGAAAACACATCCTTCTCATAATGTAGATGGTTTTCACCATCCTAGAAAGTCCCATCCTGTCATACCTAATTGCTTCCTCCCCAGAGGTAATCTGCATTCTTATTAACCTAAAATTAGCTTGGTCTATTTTGGAAATTTAAATGAAGGGAATCATCCAATATGTAATCTTTTATGTCTGGTTTTTTTATTTTTCTTTTTTGTGAGAAAGCAGGATTTATTAAGAGGACAGAAAAGTTCCCACAGCAGGAGGGGACCTGAAGAGGTTGCCCTGGCTTTTTCAACTAGCATAGTATCTGTGATATTCACCCATGCCCTTGTTTACGTGAGTAGCTTATTCTCTTTTATTGCTGAGTACCACTCCATTGTAAGAATACACCATACTGTGTTTATCCATTCTGCAGTTGTTAGCTTTTTGTGTTGTTTCCAGCTTTTGACTATTGGTAAATAAAGCTGCCGTGGTCTTTTATGTGCAAGTGTATTTGTGAATTAAATTTTCATTTCTCTTGCAGACACCTAGGAGCGGAATTGCTGGATGTAATAACGTGTGTATTTAACTTTTTTTTTTTTAAGTAGTGCTTGTACCTTTTCATATTCTACCCTCAGATAATATGAGAGTCTGGTTTTTCCCACCTTTGCTAATATTTGGTAGTCTTTTTCATTGTAGTCATTCTAGTGGGGGTGTGAGTGGTATCTTGTCATGTTTTAATTAGTATTTCCGTGAAGAATAATGATGCTGAACGCTTTCAGATGTGTTTTTTGGCCTTTGATATTTCTTTCTTTGTGAGGTGACTTTTCAAGTCTTTTGTCCATTTTTTCCCCTTACCTTTTTAGTACTGAGTTCTAATAATTATATATTCTGGATATGAGACCTTTCTCAGATATTTATTTTAAGAATATTTTTTGACTGGGCTCAATGGCTCACCCCTGTAAATCCCAACAGTCTGGGAGGCCAAAGTGGGAGGATCACTTGAGCTCAGGAGTTCAGGAACAGCCTGGGCAACATACTGAGAACCTGTCTCTACAAAACATTTAGAAAAATTAGCCAGGTATGATGGTGCATACCTGTAGTTCCAGTTACTTAGAAGATTGACACAGGAGGATGGCTTGAACCCAGGAATTCGAGGCTGCAGTGAGCTATGATCATACCATTGCACTCTAACCTGAGCAACAGAGCAAGACTTTGTTTCTAAAAAAAGAATATTTTCTCACACATTTATTTTATTTTTTCTTACTGGTGTTTTTTGATAAACTGAAATTTTAAATTTTGATAAAGAACAACTTACTATTTTTTTCCTTTTTGTTTACTACTTCTTCATTATAATAAATGTTTTTCTACTCCAAGTTCATGATAATATTCTTCTGCTTTCTTATAAAACCTATATTACTTGTTATTTAGCTCTTATATCAACCTTGAATTAATTTGTATGACGTGAGGTAGAGGTCGAGATTAAATTTTTTTCCTATGAATATTCAATTGGATCTAGC